AAAAGAAGGTCATCTGTGAGCAGGGCCTCTATAACCCTTTAACACCCAGAACTGATAAACATGTAACTAATCTCCCCATAGTATTCATACATTATTCAGCAAACAGGTAATCAGAATACTCAAACTCATCAGGTACAAGATGTTAAGCTGATTGAACACAAAATTCTTGTAGCTAATCTACAAGGATGAGGCCTGGAGCAACATGAGCTGGTGAGAGGCCTGTAAAGGGTTTAACCCTTTAACTCTCACAAGTGATTAACATGAAACTTCTCCCCATAGTATTCATACATTATTCAGCAAACAGGTAATGAGAATATTCAAACTTGTCAATTAGAAGCTGCTATCTTGATCTAGTACCAAGTCCTCATAACTAATTTATAAGGATATACATAGCAGCTAAAGGGGAGAATTTACAATCAGATCTTGGGAGTTAAAGGGTTAACACTGATAAAAAAGGACCAAGTATTCAGCAGTTTAACCCCTTACAGTGACTGACATCTATTTTCTCCTTACTGTATCCCCCCTGAATCAAACATTTAGGTCAGGAGAATAAAGGAGCTGATCACTGACTAGAGAAGCTCTTGATTGTTAAACATGTCAGCATCCTAGAAAAATAAATGTTTAGAGAACAGTGTGGAGAATATGCATACTGATGTTAGGATGTGAAGAGTTAAAACACTGTCTATCTGTATACCCTAATTCAAACTACAATTATTCATATTTTACAGCCCTGAATGAGACATACACTGTATGTAATTAAAACAATAATCCAGTGAGATCACAATTTTACTACATAAAAGACTTCTTAGATAAAAAATCAAAACAAAACAAAAAAACCATGGAACATTTTGTACCTTGTGACTATGATGCCTGAAATCATCCACAGCTCATGATAAACTTGTCATAAGAACCTTTTTTCACTTTGCTTCTCACCAGCAAGCTTTGTAATAAAAAAAAGTGTTTATACCTTACACTGTTTATGAGAGATGCCATGCCATTTAGCCACTGATCACTGAGTTGAAAAGAGATTAATTTCTCAGAGCAAGGAGTTTAATAATGATTATCAAACTTAAAAACAGACATTTTGTCACAAAAGAAATTATACATACAATCAGCAAGAAAATTGTCAACACACTACCATTGAAATGGCAATATTCTGGAATAGCATACCAATTATATTCCTTACTTTCAACTCTTCTTCTCATGTACAATGTTTCTTTAACTGTTTTACACCATTCTACAACATTGACTGGTGGAAGAGCTTATTGTTGCAGTGAATTGTAGTTCAATTTTCACTCCATTTCTACATAATTCCTTAGAGGTGGCTCAGTGGATGTTGTGTCAACTGATTTTATCTTTAAAACATTTATGACCCCTTAAGATGAAAATAGTCACAATTATTGTTGATTTTATGAAAAATATACCTATGGAGTTTAAATCAAGTGTTCTTTTGCCATAGTATGTCAGTTTACAAATTTTGTGGAAAAAATCACCCACACTCACAGGGATTGTGGCCAAATAACTGTAAGAGCATCTTATTATTTGAAAAACTCACATTTTCCTCTTTCAAAACCTTCTGCAAATCTTCATCTCTTGAAAAGGCTGGGTGGCTGACAACAAGTTGAAAAAATCTGAAAAACATTAAAAATTTTAATTCTTGAGATGGGCTAATATGTAATGTAAACATGAGAATCAACAGTGTCTCCCAGAAAGTATATTAAATTTTAGAGAAAATAGTATCTTCAAGAAAAACTGAATCTTTCCTGAGGAAGTTTCTCTAAGATCTGTTTGTTGTTGGGTTGTTTTTTTGATCATTTTGGTTTTATTTTGCCAGTTCACTGGGAGAAAAAAAACTTAAATGGAAAATTAACCCTTTATATCCCAACAGTGACTAACATCAAATTTCTCCGTACAATATCACACCTAAATCACAAGTTAAGGTCATGAGTGTAAAGGAAATGATCATCAATAAAAGAAGCTTTTGATTGGTAAACAAATTCTCCTTGTCAGCACCTTAGGAAATGTATAAAGAGCTGTATGGAGAATACAAATACTGAATCTAGGGTGTAAAGGGTTAAAGGGTTATAAACTTTGTTTCAACATTAAAATATACCTGTTTTTCTCCTTTCTTCCACTTCTCTGAACATTCCTCTGTAACCCAAATCCGCATCGTCCCTGAATTTCTGTCTTACGAGTCCTTCATGATGTGTAGTTCAGTAGCTCGATGTGCGGCGCTTGGTAACCACCCTGTCTCACTTCGCCAACAAACCACCAGCAGAGTTCTATTTGTGTAGTGCGTCAAGAGGATGGTTTCCAAATGACAAAGTACCCGCTGCATCTATGGAAAATGCCTAATGGCAACGATACTACTGACTCTAGATCGTTACTACCAGAAAGCAAGGCTGGTCATCAAGTTAGCAGCCATGTACAGCTTTTCTGGCCTTGTTAGGCCTGATAAAATAAGGCGTTGCTCACATAAGGGGCTTGGTTAGCTTATGAAAAAATGTTTTGAATTACATATGGTACCTTTGCAGAAAGAATTGGAGGTGTGGAGGCCCCATAGTCTGCGTGTTGGAGTCTGACTCGAAAGATTCCTATTCAACCCTCGGGCATGATTTTCGAAGTTCCACTAACTTCAGAAGAACAAATATAACATTTACAAATTAAATTATACGCAATGATGATGCGAGTCTTCGTCCAGGCACTTAGTGAGTTCTTTTTCTTTCCTTGTCGTCTTTACTGTTTGCATTTCAAATTTGTCAAAGCCTCTATCTCGAAAGAAACATGGCAAACAAAATCCGCCTGGCACGTTAACTTCCCGGATCTTTCGAGAAACGGGCTCCTGGTCTTTTTCATAGGAAGGGGTTTTTTTCACAATCGTTAGGCCTCTCTCTAAACAGGATTACAAATGAGTACCGCTGAACTGTGAGCCTGAAACGAATCGTCTCCCAGCTAACTGTTGCATTTCAAATATCTATATCAATCATTTACAACATGGAGTCCTTGCTTTGGGAGTCAAAGATCTGATAGCATTTGTAACTCATTCGCGTTTTGCCACTTTTAGGGATTTTCTAAAAAGGTTTTTTAAACAAAAAAATCAGCAATTATTCATTTTAAAAACTTCTGTTACAGAAACACGCCAGCCGACGACTCTGCTCAAAAATTCAACTCCACTACCTAGCTCATCAGTGCAGCCAGCAAATTCATCACCAGATCGCCAGCAACTTTATCGCACTTTACACCACTTATTTGGGACCACACAATGGCTGCGATTAACTTAGGTTATGCACAATCGAAAATGTCGAGGTGGAATGTGGAGACCAGACAGGAACACTTCGAAAAAGAGACTTAGGAAGTAATCAGCTCTCATCAAGAATTTCACTTTCCATTAGTTTTGATTTGAAAGTTCCACTGTCCGGGAACACGACTGCAGCTGATCTTAATCAGACAACATGAAGAAATTTCCAGTAACCTATTATTAAAGTTTAACAGAGCAGATGTGAATCTAAAATATTAGTGGGATTTCCTTAGTTTTCGATGCTTCAAAACCACCTCAAGTCCGCTTCGTGCGCCTTTTATGTGATAGTGGACAGGTTCTAAAAGGCTCCAAATGTGGTAAGCAGAGTTTGTTATCATCAAATGAGCATATTAAAATCCTTATGAATCTCAAAACACAAAGTGACTGGTTAACTTATTGTGCTTAAAAGACTCTTATTTTGTCCGATGTAAGTTTCAGGTCCATTTCCATCACAACATGAAGAAACCGTCCAGGAGTGGCTACGATACTGTTAGATGCAAAAAGGAGACACATTTAAATTCCACTTGATAATAACAAAGAGGTAAAAGCTGTTCTTAGTTGCAGCGCTGTCTTATTTTTATTTCTGATGTACATGTTTACATTTGATTCTTGGAGATTGTGGATCATAGGAGAAGCTTTCAAGTCTGAACCCTTGAACTCCTAGAAGTGATTACCTTGTAACTTCTTCCTATAATATCCATACATTAATATCCAATAAACAGGTAATGAGAATACTCATAATCAGGAAAGAGTTGTTATCATGATCTAATGCCAAATTCTCATAACTAATTGACAAGAAATTGTGCAGCATCAACTGAGGGGAGAACTACCAATTAGATCTTGAGAGTTAAAGGGCTAAATCAGTTAACAGAAACATGCAGAGCAAATACTTACATATCTGGATTTCCATGCAATGCAGCAAACTGACCTTCCAAACTGAGAGCAAAATAAAAGTAAAAAATCAGGTGGCAATGTTATCTTGAACAATTTAATTCATACCTGGCAGTTCATAAAATGATAGTTGGTTACGCTGGCACTTTTTCGTAAGCAAGTATTCTAAAAAATAATTTGATCGCTTTAGACAAACAGGAGCAGTGAGAGGCATGATGCAAATGAAAGAATAGCCAGATAATTTTTTATTTTACGTTTGCCAAATACTTCCCTATAACTATGAAATTTTCTGAAATGCCCGAGTTTTCCAAAGTGGCCGTAAAAGCAATTTCACTTCCGCTTTATAATTGGTTTATTTGAAAAAATAGGTGTTATACGATTGGCTGCCTACTCTAGATCAACAATTTTTCAAGGGCGCAGAATTTCCTCGCAGAAGGCATTCCAAAAAATATGGGAGTCGAAAAAACGCATTGAAAGTGCATACTCTAACTTAGACTAGAATCTTCGTATAGCTTTTAAGGACCTTGATGTTTAGGGAGTACTTGGTTAAGTTTAGACCCTATCGTAAGTAATAAGAAAGATGCAATTAACTCAACGAAGGAAGCATATCATAACCAAGCACCAAAAAGTCATTCTTTTAAATGAATCAACGTACAAAACATTCCTCCCGAAAATGAGTTTCCTCGCATGAGGATGAAGAATGATTGTAATATAAGTATCGAAAAGGCAATGCACTTTCCTTGCTATGCATTCAGATGCTATATAAACAGCTCTGAAATGGTCTCTTCGTCTCTTTTTACTATTCATAGTGAGCTGTCCTGTTGGATACTTCCACAATACCTCAGAGTGCCAAGCATGCGCAGTGGATCATTACCAGGATAAAGAGGCGCAGACTTCTTGTGTTCCTTGTCCATCCGGAACATCAACATTCGGGGAGTTAGCATCTAGATGGCAAAGAAACTGTAAAGGTCACTAATAAAATATACTAAATGTCTTATTTTGACTTATGATGAATTTATTTGTACTCCTGTAAACAATATTTGTGTTTGACCGCTTGCCAATTCTTACTTTCATCAGAAAATTTCAAAACATCAAATGCTTGGGCAAATCAAATCGATGGGCGCGGGACATCAGGTCACCATCTCAGTGCCATTGTTAAGTTGCCATGGCAATAGTTGTACCAGTCATTCTAATAGTTGCTGTCGCCATCTTTTGTGTGTGGACGGAAAGAATGTAAGTCAAAAGCATCGTTTTCTTTTTTTTTTTTGGTTGTCATTATCGTCACTATAAAAATTTCTTACTGTTATTTTTACTGCTGTCGTGGTTTTTTCAAAAGTGGAATAGAAACCGATAGAGTTGAATTGCAATGGAATAAACAAAGCATAAAACAAATATTCTTATCTTGGCCTTGTAAGGCATTAACAAAGTTAAGATTTTGTCTTGTTTCGGAGTTCCAAGACGCGTTCGCTTGAATGACATGGCATCACATAGCAAGGTTTGATACATGTGAGCTACTTAAAGATTCACGTCGCTCTTTCTCATCTATTTTATCGTTCCTCCCTCAGAGGACCTCGGCGAAGAACTTCTGAGACCAGGGGACACAACAATCCAGCATATGAAGATCCAATGAATACCCGTGTCTATGAGGAAATTGAAGAATTGCAGTTTCCGAGTCCTCATTCCCATTATCAGTTACTAAACACGGAACCACATACTTACGCGGAGCTCCGAAACAGTCACTCTCAAGCCTAGGGAAATAGTTTGACGATTTTAGATAATCTGAGTCGAGATTTTTTTTTGCTATAGTCCTACCTTCACCGGTTTAAGCCGTGGATATGCAAAGCATAGGAAAAAGCAACGCGTTAACGCGGCCTAGGAAGCCTGGGGAGAGCATACATATATCTTATATAGGATGCGAACTCAATGTTAGTTTTGGCAAATCAATCAAGGAGAGCTCTTGTGGGGATGACGGCTAATTTTGTACCGATAATGTACTGCGCAATAGCCCTTTTATCACAATGTGAACAACTGAACATTCCCTCTTATCACTTTGTTGTGAGAGTGGAAATCAAATGTCAAGGTTGTTTTGGTAAACTTAGACTTGACCCGCCGAAATAACCAATTATATTCTGCACGTTATATCTACGAGTTCATCAAATTGTCACTTGGATCTTGTTATACAGTATCTATTGATGGGTTCTAGTGCGGAAGGTCTATAAGGATCAGAGGAAAGGTTCAACACTTCTTACAGGCATCGAGGGAAGCGTTATCACGGAGAAAATGGCCGCAATTCAACGATCAAACCGCCCACGTAGACTATTCAAATCCAATCCCTTGGACAGTGTAATACGTTACAATCAAAGATACACTTTGGGTGCAATGTAGAGTTACGAATTCAGAATAAAATGTTTCATTCTTGGTTGGATTTGGACCTTTATCAGTTTCGTCATCTCACAAGAGTATCTCATCGAAAAAAAGTATTTTAAAATTCGTTTTCCAAAAGTGTTTGTAATACCGCATTTGTTCCCCTTTTCACTCGTGTCCCGCAATATTATGGAGAAGTAAAACATGTTACAATTCTACCTTCAGACGAACAACAATCTCACTAACTTTTTTCATCAATAAATAACCCCATCCCCATGAAAGTAACTTCTTTACGACATGATAATGATCACCCACGCGCTATCCAGACTTTAACTAGGCTTTCATTAGAAATTTTTGACTGGGGAGAAGGGGAGGAAGCCCTGTATGAGAAAAAATTAATGATATTTTCAACCCTCGAGTCCAATTAAAAAAACTTTCGTTTAAAATTTACTTCAAGATGAAAGAGGAGTTTGTAGGAATGTGGGTATTAGGAATTGTGAGCCAGTACATTGTGAGACTTCACCGCGTCACTATGAACACTACTGAAACGAGTAGTTGAAAAAAGGACTTGTAAGGGCCTGAATTTTTTTCAGGTCCTATTTTCAACTACTCGTTTCAGTAGTGTTCTTAGCTGCGAGGAGCTCTTAATTTCATTTCTTCACCGCAGTGCAAATATATGAATTTTATATATCTAAAATCATCATTCACCGCGTCGTTTAAGATCTTTATCGAAGTTCGCCCTTCGATTCCACAAGAATGAGAGGTTACTTCCACTCAACCTTGGATGTTAAACGGCTACTGATGAAGAAGTAACGGGATTTTCTTTTTAGTATCCTGTGGCATGTTAGCAAATTGGTTTATCCAGAGAATTTTCCTTCTACGAAGTTCGGAACAAATGATGTTTATTTCTTTAAGACAACCGCTGATCAGACTCTAGTGATTAAGGCTCACGTGGGCCTTGATGACAAGTGGCGGGGGTGGAAGAGAGGAGCGGGAACGGGAGGTGTACAGCAGTTTTCGATTTTTCAATTATATAGTATTGAAGCGTTAATACGTTTCCTGTGAACAGCGAAATATCATGGATTTTGTTCTAATATCTAATAATATCTATTTCTACTCTTTTTTCAGCTAGCAAAACATTGTTTTTGTTAAATTGCTCGTTTTGATGTTTGTTTTATAAAGGGCATCACAGTTTTCGTAAAATCGACCTCCAATGTTATCTTAAATTTGAGCCTCGATATGGGTCGCCACGTGTGTTCGCTGGGGTGATCAGAAAATCTCTCATAACTCGATACATTTTAAAGATCAGATGAAGTGGATTGTGGTTCTAGAATAAGGACATGAAGGTCTTTCAATGTACAAGAAATAAACGAAATCTATTTTTCAAGCTAGATCGGCCGGACCGCTTTTATAGATATTCTCTCTTAATTATGAATATGAATAAAAATCATCAATTTAAAATAGCAAGATTCTGAAAAAAAAGTACTAATTAGCAACTTAAGAGTTTCTTTACTTGGGTGCATATTCTGACTGTTGATTATACGTAGAACTGCAACCTTCTGTAGCAACCTAAGAAATGAGAAAGTAATGAACTACTTGCTCAGAAATAAAAAAAAAAACCATATCGATTGTGCGAGTTTCCAGATCGGAAAATTAAAAGCACTAATTAAACAAGATATTATGAAAAAATTAAGACAGTCTAAGTTCTCACGTGCTAAGAAAACACAACGAGTAAACCTAAATCAAAGACCAACAACGTCTATGAAATAGCACAGTTACTAAACTACTAACACGAGTCTCTTCTTCTTTTATGAAACAGCACAAGGGTCAACTCTCTTTCTTTTCTGTCTTAGCCAAGATAAGTTCCTCCCGACCTCTAGTGTCCTTAAATGTTCTTGACCATACTTGAAGATATAAATTACCAGTGCACGCTTATAGCAGTCTTTTGCTTCATCTGTATCGCCCAGATCCCTGTGTAAATTACCCAGATTGTTGTAAGAGCTTGCAACATCAACATGCTCGGGTCCCAGCTTTTTCAGACGAATCTCCAGTGCACGCTTATAGCAGTCTTTTGCTTCATCTGTGTCGCCCAGATCTCTGTGTAAAGTACCCAGATTGTTGTAAGAGCTTGCAACATCAACATGCTCGGGTCCCAGCTTTTTCAGACGAATCTCCAGTGCACGCTTATAGCAGTCTTTTGCTTCATCTGTGTCGCCCAGATCTCTGTGTAAAGTACCCAGATTGTTGTAAGAGCTTGCAACATCAACATGCTCGGGTCCCAGCTTTTTCAGACGCATCTCCAATGCACGCTTATAGCAGTCTTCTGCTTCATCTGTGTCGCCCAGATCACTGTGTAAAATACCCAGATTGTTATAAGAGCTTGCAACATCAGCATGTTCAGGTCCCAGCTTTTTCAGACGAATATCCAGTGCACGCTTATAACAGTCTTTTGCTTCATCTGTGTCGCCCAGATGGCTGTGTAAAGTACCCAGATTGTTGTAAGAGCTTGCAACATCAACATGCTCAGGTCCAAGCTTTTTTATCTTAATCTCCAGTCCACGCTTATAGCAGTCTTTTGCTTCATCTGTGTCGCCCAGAGCCATGTGTAAAGTACCCAGATTGTTGTAAGAGCTTGCAACATCAACATGCTCGGGTCCCAGCTTTTTAAGACGAATCTTCAGTGCACGCTTATAGCAGTCTTTTGCTTCATCTGTGTCGCCCAGATCTCTGTGTAAACTACCCAGATTGTTGTAAGACCCTGCCACATCAACATGCTCAGGTCCCAGCTTCTTCAGACGAATCTCCAGTGCACGCTTATAGCAGTCTTTTGCTTCATCTGTGTCGCCCAGAGCCATGTGTAAAGTACCCAGATTGTTGTAAGAGCTCGCAACATCAACATGCTCAAGTCCCAGCTTTTTCATCTGAATCTCCAGTGCACGCTTATAGCAGTCTTTTGCTTCAGCTGTGTCGCCCAGATCACTGTGTAAAGTACCCAGATTGTTGTAAGACCTTGCAACATCAACATGCTCAAGTCCCAGCTTTTTCAGACGAATCTCCAGTGCACGCTTATAGCAGTCTTTTGCTTCATCTGTGGCGCCCAGATCACTGTGTAAACTACCCAGATTGTTGAAACACCTTGCAACATCAACATGCTCAGGTCCCAGCTGTTTCATCTGAATCTCCAGTGCACGCTTATAGCAGTCTTTTGCTTCATCTGTGTCACCCAGATCACTGTGTAAAGTACCCAGATTGTTGTAAGAGCTTGCAACATCAACATGCTCAGGTTCCAGCTTTTTCAGACGAATATCCAGTGCACGCTTATAGCAGTCTTTTGCTTCATCTGTGTCGCCTTGAGCCTTGTGTAAAGTACCCAGATTGTTGTAAGAGCTTGCAACATCAACATGCTCAGGTCCCAGCTTTTTCAGACGAATATCCAGTGCACGCTTATAGCAGTCTTTTGCTTCATCTGTGTCGCCCAGAGCCTTGTGTAAAGTACCCAGATTGTTGTAAGAGCTTGCAACATCAACATGCTCAGGTCCCAGCTTTTTCATTTGAATTTTTAACAGCCATTTACCGTAGACCAGCGCTGCTCTAAACTCACTGTGGTTTAGGCACATGTCATTAAGGCTACAAAGGCTATCCAGAAAATTACACAAGGCTCTTTCGGTTGCTTCTGGCATTCCTTTCCCGAGTGACATGTCTTCAATTTTTAAGCTCAACATTTTAAGATGGGGAACTATTCTTGTTCCTACAACAATAGATTCTAGCTCTTCAAATTTTGAGAACGACATTACCGCGCCATACACCACTTTGTAGCTTTGATCCTTTGCGAAACCTTTTGTAGCAGATTTAATAACATCAAGAACGACACCATGGACTCGAATATAAACACCAGTTGATTCTTCTTCAATTAGCAACAGTGAACATCGACTCATCCTCATTCTTATCATATTTTCGTCTTCAAAATCGTCACTAATTACTTTGATATACTCGGTAATAATGTCTTGCAGGATCGGCTGTGATGCACACATTGAGAGAAAAAGGAACGTGCGATGCCAAATTATGTCATCTGCCATCGCCTTTTCGACGGCAAGTGTTATTGCTTTGGTCATGGACTTTGAATAGCTTGGATTTGTCTCAGCAAGAATGTTTTCAGTAGCACTTCGTTTCCCCTCTTCCAATTTCTCCAAATAGTCGGTCCATCCAAATTTCGAGGTTGCTTTATTCTGACGAACTTGTCTTACATACGTGGCTGCGCCTGCCAAGGCAAGTGGCTGGTAGTCGAGTACTTTCGCAGTTTCTTTTACAATCTTGACATCCGTGGTTCCAGTGAGGAGGTTAAGCAGAAAGCATGCATCATCAGGATGCATTCCTGCGCTGATTGAGATATTTCGTATGGAAGAGCTTGACAAAGGTATAGAAGCAGTATCTTGTGTTGTTATTAGCATCTGACCCCTTGCCCACAGCTCGTTTCCTGCATCTGGCAAATGATCGCTTGTACGAGATACGCTGGTCACATTATCAACTACCAACAGCCATGAAGTGTAATGCTCAATTTTTGTACTTATTAAGGTCTTGAAATATGAAATCTTCTCGTCTGTGTTCAAATCCTTGGAGCCGTAAGTGTTTGTTATTTCATACCCGGGACATTTGCAATGTTGAGCGAAAAGGACATACGATTTCAAAAGTGCTTCTGAGTTTTCAGCATTCAACGTCATGACAAATGAAGCTGCGGAAGGTATTTGTTCGACCTCGTCGTAAAATCGCTTGGCTGCTAAACGGGCCAGCTGAGATTTTCCACTTCCTGGATTTCCTGACAAATACAGCATGCTCAACCCATCATTGGCGTCTTTTAGTGTTTGGAGGTTTTGTAAAACTTCACCAACTTCAGATTCCCGAGGAGCGATGTCGTGGCTAGGTTTAGGAGGGAGAATGCAAAATGGAGAGACATCGGAATGTAATTGCTCTTCTAAGGCAAGCCTCTGTTCTTCTTTCACTTGAAGTTCCTCTTCCTTGTCCTTAACTTCTTGTTTCAAGTCGTCAGCCTTCCCTAAAACATCGTTTAACTCCTCTGTTAAGAAGTTTGTCTGATTTTGAACTTCACTGATTTTCAATGTCTGGAGACCGAGTGCGTGGAATGCAGTTTTAACCTTAGTAATGACATTTTGGAAATCTCCATTGGAGAGGTGGCCCCTAGGCATATGTGCAAATTCTTCATTTCGAAATTTCCTTAAGTCATCCACATTTGATCTAATTGATGGATTGAGAGAATATATGCAATCTGAATACAGGATAGCGTAAAACAGCATGGTACAATCCCATTCAGCTTTATCGCCATTCTTCATGGTTGTCAACAGCCCAGCGTTTCTTTTTCTGTTTCGAGTAGACTCGCCATTCCAGAAGTCCATTCCATTTTTGGGTTGATCTTTCCATTCTCCCAGTGTTGTCTTGTATCGATTGTCCCATTCTTGTTTGAAGATGGTTCGCAGACCCTCAGTTAGTATGTCAGTGACAACGTAACAAATCCTGTAGTAATTCAGTTGCTCTGTGGTGTACTTCAACACAGTGGCCATTATCAGTTACATCCTATTAAAACCATAGTTATGTTAGTACCCAATTCGGTTATGTCGGTAGGTCGCTATACTTTTGCTGACCCTTTAACAGTTTTGCCGTACTTGTTTTGAATATTTATTAACCTACAAAGACATTTTCGCTGATACATGTCAATTATATTCTAGAGAGGAAGTAAGGGCAATTGAAAAATTCTCGCTTTCAAAACAATTTGCTCGGTGGAGTCAGAGGCAAATAGAAGGGAGGAAAAGAGAGTGATAAAGATTTACTGTCACTCATAACTTAAATGTCAGTATAATACAGAAAAGTGTTCAAAGCATCAGGGATACAATTTATGCGTGAAAGAAACCATCTTCTTGCTTCCTTATTTGTTAATTTGTTTTTTTCTTTCAGTGTTCACTTGGTTCCACGATAGGTATTTTTGCGAGACACAGACGACCTGAATGTTACAGAAGCCGGATGCATCGAAGATACCACTCAAACCGGGGGTGTTGCTACTGGGGCCATAACAAGGAGGAGTCACCATCATGATGAGTGTGAGGACAAAGAGAGCCTTAATGGAATGGATGCCAATCTGCATGAGGACCATTAAAGGGGAAGTACGGTCTAGAAAAAATTTGCCTTAATCAAAAGTTTCTGACTTGTTTTATTTATGTGACCTCTGTGGTACGAATGGCTTAGTTGTAACTGGAAGAGTGTCCTACAGAAAGAGATCCATAAGCTGACCTGGAAATCACCAGGTGGGAAGACCATTAACCAGCTCGATCATGTCTTTGTGAATGGACGCATGAGACCATCGATTCTGGACACGAGAGTGATGAGAGGAGCAGACATATACGATGACTACTACCAGGTGAGAACCAGAATGAGACTAAAGTCGGCAAAGGCGCGTGGGAAGAAGAAAACAAGTGTGAGGTTTGACATGTGTTAGTTGCAAAGTTAAGAGATCAGGAGGAAATATAACATTAACGTGAAGAGCAGGTTTGCAACGATATGAGATATAAAAGATCCAAAGGAAGCACGGCAAGATCTTGGTGACGTACAGAGATGCCGCAGAGAAAGTTATTGGAAGGTCAAAAAAGGAGAGCAAGCCATGGACAGGAGACAAGACTTGGGGAACAATTCAGGACGGGAAAGAGGCAAAACTTAATATAGAGGGTGCGAGATTGGAAGGACTTGAACAGCGATAGAGAGAGGAGTATAGTGGGAGAGAAAAGGAAGTGAAAGAGAGTGCTAGGGAGGATAAGAGGAATTGGTTGGAGGAAAGGGCTACAGCAGCAGACAAGGCCGCTGAGAATGGTAGAGACGAGGAGCTAACCAGCATAACCAAGACAATAGCCGAGAACGGTGGAGGCGGGAATTGCGTGTGAAAGACGAACAGGGGGTGCTTAAGACAGAATCACAAGAAAGATTGCAGAGCTGGGTAGAAAACTTGAATAAAATTTTAAACACAGATGACCCAACAAACCCGGTGGAAGAGAAAAAAGACACAAGAGAACTGGAGTAGATTGAGGAAGTGGATGTAGGAAGATGGCGAATACAAGAGGTTAAGGATACGTTGAGGAAGACAAAGCCAGGGGAGCTGGAGTAGATGAAGTGGGCCCAGCCTGCTGAGGGCTGACACGGAATACACCGCAAGTAGGCTGATTAGATGATATAACAGGCTTTAGAAAAGTTAATGGTGGCCAGAAGTGTGTAAGAAGGAACTTGTTGTCAGTATATTCAAGAAAGGTGATTTGCGTGATTGTAACAATTGGAGAGGAGTGACTTTGCTACCCATCATCAGTAAAATATTCCACAGGATGCTGCTAGAACGGATTAAGCAAGGTATAGACAAGAAACTTAAAAAAGAGCAGGCTGGCTTTAGACCAAATGGAAATACAACTGAACAGATCTTTACATTAAAAAAACATCTTAGAGCAGGCAAACGACTGGAGGGCGAGTCTGCACACGCAGTTTGGGGACTTTGAAAAAAGCCCTCGATTCGGTACACAGAGAAAGATTGTGGAACACCATGGGGAGCTATGAAATACCGCGCAAGATGGTGAGAGTGGAAATGGGCATATACGGAGGGTTTGAATGCGCCGCAATCGACGGATTTGAGATATCAGACTGGTTCAAGATTTAGTCAGGAATAAAGCAGGGTTGCGTAATGTCAGGATTCTTATTCCTACCGGCCATGGGCGGGATCATGAGGAAGACAACCGCAAGACACTGAGGACAGATTTTGCAAGGAACAGGGAGAGCATAGTGGTGAATGGTGAAGAAGTGAAAGATGTCGATGAGTTTGCGTATCTTGAAGCTATTGTAGAAAAAAAAGGTGGAGGCAGTGAAAATATTAGGAACAGAATACAGAAGGCACGAGGTGCATTCCAGAGGCTATGGAAGGTGTGGGTAGCCAGACGAATAGGAAAGAGAGACATGATATGCCTATTCAAGACTTTAGTCCGACCGGTTCCGCTACATGGTTGCTAAACATGGAAGATCACAAAGATGGATGAAAGAAAACTGAACAGTTTTCAGTACTAATGCCTAAGACGGATACTGATATTGGGGTGGACACCAGAATGTCGCAAGGCGAGAGGGAGACCAAAGACCAGTTGGAGAGGGACTGTTGAAAGAGGAAAAAGGCAAGGCGATATGGAAGAGCTGGATTGTGGCTGGGGCGGCGACACGCAACAGGGGGGTTGGGCGGACAATGTGACGGCCTTATGCACCTACTGGCCCAACGAGCGATGATGATGATGATGATGATACACACCACACGTGACAGTTAACTTTAATTTACGTGCGATCGTAACCCGTGGTTACGATCGCACGTAAAGGAAAGAAATGATTACTATGAAGCTAGGGATCGGAAACAAAAATAAATTTAGAGAAAAAGTGTACCGAACTTGTGGGGTACACTTTACTCTCAGTCCTCAAATTCTGTCATTGTTTGTCATCAACGTTCACCACGTCACAAACTTCCAACGCTCTCTCCTCAAACCTATCACTCTAATTATCACCTCTCCTATTTCGATCTTAACCTAACCGTGACTGCGTGAGTCTCATGTCACGCAACTTCCGTTTAAAAGGTTACTTGGAACTTACTTTCGAATCAGTGAGTTACATGATACATACCGTTCTAGAAGTTTGAGAAAACTTGGGAATACTTGAACTGTCTGCAATCAAAGGTTGAACAATTTAGAATCACGTGCTTTTAAAGCTGCTCAAGCAGCAAAATTATCTTTAGGTTCTTTTTTTATATCATAAGCAAAAAACACAGGCACTGTGTTTGGTTCTTACCTAAGATCTATTGGAGGACAAATGCATTTATTATAGAAAACAAATAGAATCCATGCTGCCTGGGTTCTTTATAATAATAGATCACAGATGACGTCACAAATGTGGTAAAAACATCAGTGATACACTCAGCTGCGCTTCGCGTACCTCTTTTTTGTTCTTACCACATTTTGACGCTATCTGTGATTTCTTACTGAACAAACGCAGGGCAACATGTAAGTTATTTTCTAAATTAACAAGTAAGGAATATCAAAACTTCTTATATACGCTGTTAGACATTCTGGACTCCTTCTGGCGGAAGCAGCTATTCTGCGCCTTCTGCATCAAGCACTGCCACGATTACTAAGTTTCTATTCCTTATGGTTTCTTTTTCAAGTATTCCGAAAAATGTTTACTTTCTGTCCACAGCTTATGTGACCGTAATCAGTCAATAATTATATTCGCAACTGATCATGCGTAATAAAGGAATACTAAATGGAATAATAAATGGAAAAGATAATACTTCTAAGGCGTTTATCAAATGAACATAATGTCATACCAACAGGCCATGTCTCTTTATTCGCTAAAGTAATTACTTTACTGAGTAGGTTACTGGGTTGCGTCAATTGAGACAAGATAATTTATTTCCTCGTGGGTACGTTTGGTTGCACTCGCCCGAAATAATTGATCGTTCAAGATAAGTCAAAATGACGGGTACACCAATGAATATAGCCTTAGTAAAAGACTTTCCCCAGTTTAAGCCAAGAGATCTATTTGAAATAATTAGCGACTTTCTATGAAGAATATAATTTGTTTCACCGACTACCATTGAATTCGCTTTCGTTTCATTGGTCCATTTTTTTGCCCCCAGAAAAATAACACAGTAATTTGCCTTGACCCGTTCATCTTAATTCTTTTTCAAACTTACTTCGCTCTACAAAAGTCGGTAAAAATTCCTCGCATTAGACACCATTTCACATTGCTAACATAATGGAAAGTAGGTAATAAAACAGGGAAATACTAAATTTTGGTGAATCGCTGACTGTACGCGTATCTGGCGTGACATTTTTCAAGCAAGAAAATGTGAAATCTTGAACAGAGGTCAATAATGTTTCTTTCTCCTGTTATAGAATGTTTTGATCAAAGTCCTTTTTCAAAATGGCAATTTACGAGTCCAAAAAGTGACTAAAGACTAACTGACTGAAATGAATAATAAATATAACCACCATTGTAACAACATCAACTGAAGATTGTTTGTGACCCTAACCAAATATAAGCCAATGACATTGAGTCTTTTGATTGGCGTCGATAACCGCAAGCGTCACATTTGTGCGTTGATCCGTTAAGTGCAAGCTGAGCTGTTTAGTCCGAGATAGGTAAACAAATGATAAAGAGCCACGCACATCAGCTCGCCCCGGTCCTTAAAGCAATATTTAAGGAAATTCTCGAATTGGCTGGAGTGGGTTTTGAGGAGAAGGGAAGGGAGGTTTACTTGCACACCATTCCACATTCCCTCTCTGAATACAAAGCAGGCAAAAGACAACATCAAAAAAATACTAAATTTGGCGATTTTCTAACTGTAGTCAAGTCTGGTGTGATATTTCAAGTAATTGGAGTAAGCTCTTGGACAGAGGTCAACCATATCCGCATGTCTTCAACTATAATTTTCTGCTCAATTTTATTTTTTTTTAACCGCATTGAAACAATTCTTGAAGCAAATAAGGAGAAAGTTATAAACTGAGTCTTTTACCGGAGGGAAAACTTTCGAACGAACAATTCAGTATAAAGCTCACAATCTTCAGCAATAACACGTAACTTATAATTTCTTAATCAAAATACACCGCCAGCTAAGAGCGCATAAGGTTACAAAATTAAGGGAAAATGTTCATGGACAGCGGCGAATTCGATAAGATCTCTGATTGACTGCGGAGTTGTTTTTGTCAGTTTGTTTCCACGGTGTCCTCGTAGACAACATAAATTCGCAAAACTTCCCCAACATCAAAACATACGCAATGACTAAATCGACAAGAAAGTTCGTGATCCTTTATCAATCTTAAGATCAAAGACTAGTACTGTGTTTCTTGCTGTTGTCCAAAAGCAGTTAGATGTTTTGTATCAGTTTCAAAATAAGCAAGTCCTGGCCCGCTACAGAAACAACTGAATTACACTATAACACAATGTACTTACCAGCGTCGCTAATTTCAGTCCCTTGAGGAACAACTAAGGCTGATAAATGTTATCGTTTGTCTTTCGATCTTTTCACTGCCGCTGTGGATCGTGATGGTCAGGCTCGCAAGAACAAGGCTTGCAATCAAAACGTCCCGATCTGTACATTGAAGATAAAACAAAGTGCAATAACCGATTATACTTTATTCCATATTCTACCGTTGTCCAGAAAAAATGGATAATTCTCACACCAAAAATTCTGCTGCTTTAAAGAAATGGTATTGGGGCTAATCTGCTTTTTGCTTTTTTCAGCATTATTGTCTAACAAACAAAGCAATTCTTTCGTTCATTTGACACACGCAGCATATCAATGATCAAATCATTAACTGCATCAACTAACGTCATTTTTGACATTTTCACTTATCTAGGGTGACGATAGAAGAAATCGCTGTGCAATTTCACCTTTTTTTTGCTGAAACTGTTTTATTAAGTTTCTTCTCCTTCAGCGTGTGTCGTATCAATATAAGTTTTTCTAGAATGTATGCTTGTTTATTTTTATGGACGGTGAATCCGAAAATATCTCCAATCGACTGCATAGTTGTTTCTATGGTATTCTCTAAGACAACATACAATCGCAAAATCGTCCTCAACATCAAAACATACGTAACGACTAAATCGACAAGAAATGATATTAAAAGATCCTCGCAGCTAAGAACTCTACTGAAACGAGTAGTTGAAAATAGAACCTGAAAAAAATTCAGGCCCGTACGGGATTTGAATCCTTTATCAATCTCAAAAATCGAAGACTAGTGCTGTATTTCTCGCTAGAAAGCTCCCCTATCAGCGAAAGTGGGGTGAAGGGGGAAGGGGGAAATTTACATACACACCATTCTAGCATCCTAACTCAAGAAAAAAGGCAGATGAAGAAGCAATCTTCAGATACCCGTGCCTGACATGATTACTACAACAATCGAACTTAAATTATGTTCAAGAATGTTCTGATCAAATTCCTTATATCGATTGTTTTGCTGACAACTGTTGAATTCCCTTTGGTTTCATCATTGGTTCATTTTTTGCCTGCAGAAAAATGACACTAGAATGTGCCTTGAACCGTTAATCTTAATCATTTCACTCTAGATAACACCCTGGTTGCACTTTCGTGTTTGAAAGGTTTAATCACGAAAGTGCTCTTCGAAAGTGTTCTTCGAGATCGAAGATTAGTACTTTATTTCTTGATGTTGCCCAAAAGCAGGTGGATGTTTTGTTTCATTTTTAAAATAAGCAAGTCCTGGCCCGCTACAGAAACAGATAAATTACTCTATAACACAATGAACTTACCAGCGAAGCTAATTTCAGTGCCTTGAGGAACCACTAAGGCTAATATGGTATGGTTTGTCTTTCGATCTTTCCACTGCCACTGTGGATCGTGATGGCCCAACTGGTACGAAGAGGACTCCTAACCGTTTGCTTGTAATCCAAACGTCCCGATCTGTACATCGGAGGTGAAAACAAAGCTTAATTAACCATCCTACTTTATCTACTATTGGACGGTTTTCCTTAAAACAAAAGATAATTTTCACACCAAAAATTCTGCAGCTTAAACGAAATCGTAGCGGGGGTAATATACTTTTTGCTCTATGCTTTTTTAAGCATCATTATCTAACTAAACAAAGCAGTTCTTTCATTCGTTTGACACGCACAACATATCAGATGATGGAATCATAAAGTGTACCAAATAACGTCCCTTTTAATAATATTTTTACCAGTCGAAAGTGACGATAGTAGAAATCGCAGTGCAATTATACCTTTTCTCTAAATCTGTTTTATGAAACTCCTTCTCCTTCAGCGTGTTTCCTATTAACATAAATATTCTAGAATGTGCACTTGTTTATTTTCCGTTTGAAATATCTGGTACACATAACTTTCATGTAAGTGAATTAAAGACACTTACAGTAGTCAAAGTTTTAGAAACCTTTTAGTGCCGGTAGTGGTACTTCATTCGCGTAAAAGAACATAGGCTATTTCTGTACTGAAAAAACACTCGAGGAATTCGAAAGCAAATGTTTATCTACGCACATTAATCAGGACCCTAAATAGCTGCAGCCTGAGGGTACTATGCATTCTATTTGACAAAAACTAATTTTGTGTTCGTTTTGTTGCGGTTTTTCGTCAATTATCTGCCGAAGAAAAATGACACTTTAATGTGCCTTGACCCATCGGTTAAGATTATTATTCAAACTTTAGAACTGCATTGAAACAGTTCAAGGAGCAAACAAGGAAAAATTTCCAAATTGAGAATCTTTCATCCGAGGAAAAACTTTCAAACGATCAATTTGGTATAAAGTTCACAATCTTCAGCAATAAAGTATAACTTATAATTTCTTCATCAAAATGCACCGCCAACTAAGAGCGTACAAGGTTAGAAAATTGGGGGAAAATGTTTATGGACAACGATAAATTCGAAAAAGATTTCTAATCCACTGCGCAGTTGTTTTTGTAAGTTTGTTTCTACGGTGTTCCTCTAAACAACATACCTTCGCAAAACGTCCCTAACATCAAAACATACGTAGTGACTAAATCGACAGAGAAAGTTCGTCATCCTTTATCAATCTCGAGATCGAAGACTAGTACTTTATTTCTTGCTGTTGTCCAAAAACAGGTGGATGTTTCGTTTCAGTTTCATAATTAACAAGTCCTGGCCCGCTACAGAAACAACTAAATTACACTATAATACAATGTCCTTACCAGTGAGGCTAATTTCAGTGCCTTGAGGAACAAATAAGGCTGGTAAATGCTATCGTTGGTCTTTCGATCTTTTCACTGCCGCTGTGGATCGTGCTGGCCTGGCTCGCACGAAAAAGACTCTTAGCCGTTTTCTTGCGATCCAAACGTCCCGATCTGTACATCAGAGGGGAAAACAAAGCGCATTAAACGATATTACTTTACCTGATATTGTGCCGTTGTCCTTAAAGCAAGGGATAATTTTCACACCAAAGATTGAACAGCTTTCACGAAATCGTAGCGGAGAAAAATCTGCTTTTCGCTTTTTGCCTTCTTCAGCATTATTATCTTACTAAACGAAGCAGTTCTTCCATTTGACACACTCAGAATATCAAATAATGAAGTCATGAAGTGTATTAAATAACGTCAGTTTTAACATTTTCACTAATCGAAAGTGACGATAGTAGAAATCGCAGTACATGCAACTACACCTTTTCGTTCAATCTGTTTTATTAAGCTCCGTCTCCTCCAGGTATGTCGTATCAATATAAATATTCTAGAATACATGCTCGTTGATTTTTCGTTTGAAACGAGTTGTACCTGGTACACATAACTTTCATATAAGATAATAAAGTATACTTACCATTGTCAAAGTTTTATAAACCTTATAGTGAAGTATACGTTATGTAGTCAACAGAACACCCGAGGAACTCAAAAGTGAAAGCTAATCTGGCATTGTCGCAATGCATATTATTCATATCCCTAAATAGCCGCACCCTGCCGGTATTATATCAATTGTTTTACCGAAAGCTATTGAATTCGGTTTGGTTTAATCATTGGTCAAGTTTTTGCTCCCCGCAAAAGCACACAATAACGTGCCTTGACCCGTTAATCTTCATTGGTTTTCAAAGTTAATTTGTTCTTCAAAAGTCATTCATTCTAGAATGTATGTTTGTTGATTTTCCGTTTGAAACGAGTTGTATCTGCTCCACATTACTTTCATGTAAGTGAACTGAGGTACACTTACCGTTGTTAAAGTTTTAGAAACCTTTCAGTGAGGTATGCGTACTTCATTTGCGATAAAGAACATTGGCCGCTTTCTGTAGTCAACAAAACACTCGAAGAACTCGAAAGCGAAAGCTAATCTGGCGTTGTCGCAATGCATATTATTCACATCCCTAAATAGCTGCGCCCTGCTGGTATTATATCCATTGTTTTACTGACAACTATTGAATTCGCTTGGGCCTCATCATTGGTCAAGTTTTTGCCCCCAGCAAAACAACACAGCAATGTGCCTTGACTTGTTGATCTTCATTTAGTTTTTAAAGCTAATTCGCTCTTCAAAAGTTGGTAAAAAATTCCTCGCAATAGATATCATTTCACATTGCCCACATAAATGAAAAGTAGATAGTTGGTTGCCCAAAAGCCGTTAGATGTTTCGTTTCAGTTTCAAAATTAGCAAGTCCTGGCCCGCAACAGAAACATCTAAATTACACTATAACACAATGTACTTACCAGTAAGGCTAATTTCAGCGCCTTGAGACTGATAAGGCTGATCAAATGCTATCGTTTTTCTTTCGACCCTTTAACTGCCGCTGTGGATCGTGATGGCTTGGCCCGCACGAGGAAGACTCCTAGCTGTTTCCTTGCAATCCAAACGTCCCTATCTGTGCATCATAGGTGAAAATAAGCGCATTAAACGATAATACTTTATCTAATATTGTGCCGTTGTCCTTAAAACAATGGATAAAATTTTTCACAAAAAATTCTGCAGCTTTAACCAAATCGTACCGTGCGTAATCTACTTTCTGCTTTTTGCTTTTTTTCAGCATTATTATCTAACTGAACATAGCAGTTCTCTCATTCGTTTGACACACTCAGGATATCGGAGGATGAAATCATAAAGTGTATCAAATAACGTCACTTTTAATAATATTTTCACCAATCGAAAGTAGCGATAGTAGAAATCGCAGTGTATGCAATTACACCTTTTTGCCAAACCTGATTTATTAAACTCCTTCTCCTTCAGCGTGTATCTTATCAACATGAATATTCTAGAATATATCTTTGCTTATTTTCACAAACATTATAGCACACAACTTTCATGTTAGTGAATTAAAGTACACTGACAGTTTTCAGAGTTTTAGAAACCTTTTAATAAGGTAGAAGTACTTCATTTGCGAAAAAGAACATAGGCTGCTGTCTGTATTCAACAAAACACTCGAGGAATTCGAAAGCGAACGTTTATCTGCCTTTGTCGTAGAGCACATTAATCAGGTCCCTAAATAGCTGCAGCCTGAGGGTACTATGCATTTTATTTGACTGAAAGCTAATTTTGATTCCCTTTGTTGCGGTTTGTCGTCAATTATCTGCCGTAGAAAAATGACACTTTGATGTGCTTTGACCCATTGGTCAAGATTATTATTCAAACTTCTTTCGCCCTACAAAAGTGTACAAAATTCGTGGCTCTCTTGAGAGGAGGCTAATCCAGGCGACCATAATTTACAAGCAAAAAACTTCGAGAAATTTGAAATGGAAAAGGCAATACTTTTATAGCGTTGATCAAATGAATATGGCGTCATACCAACGAGCCATTTCTCTTGATTCGCTTAAGTAACGGAGACAGGTTTCTGGGTTGAGTCAATTGAGAGAAGATAATCTATTTTCTCTTAAAAATCTTGTCAAAATTTCAACAAGACAAGAAACAAAAATTGCTCATACGCAACACGCCTTCAACTCGTAAACAGGAACACGAAAGTGCAACCAGTGTGTTACGTATTGTGACCCTAACAAATAATAATCCAATAACATTGCGTTTTTTGAAATGGCGTCCATTACCGCAAATTTCACATTTCTGGGCTGATTCGTTAAGTGTAAGCAGAGCTGTTTAGTCCGAGGTAGGTAAAAAGTTACAACAGTGGGAAAGCAAAGCACATCAGCTCCCCCCGGTCCTTAAAGCAATATTTTGAGAAATTCTCGAATCGGCGGAAGTGGGTTGTGGGGAGAGAGGCACGGGGTTTAATTGCAAACATTCCACATTCCCTCTCTGAATACAAAGCAGACAAAAGACAACGTCAAGAAAATACTCAATTTAGCGATTTTCTAACTGCAGTCCTTTGAAGTAATTGGAGTAAGCTCTTGAAAAGAGGTCAACCATATTTGCTTGTCCTCTTCTAGAATGTTCTAATCAAAGTCTTTCTTAAGAATCGCATTGAAACAGTTCTGGGAGCAAACAAGGAAAAATTTCCAAATTGAGAATCTTTCACCGGAGGATAAACTTTCAAACGAACAACTCGGTATAAAGTTTACAATCTTCAACAGTAAAACATAACTAACAATTTCTTCGTCAAAATGTACAGCCAACTAAGAGCGTATAAGGCTACAAAATTGGGGGAAATGTTTATAGACAACGATAAATTCGAAAAAGATCTGTAATCGACTGCGGAGTTGTTTTTGACAGATTATTTCTACGCTGTTCTTTTAGACAACATACATTCGCAAAACTTCCCCAACATCAAAACACACGCAATGAACAAAATTGACAAGAAAGTTCGTGATCCTTTATCAGTCTCGAGATCGAAGACTAGTACTGCATTTCTTGCTTTTGTTTGAAAACAGGTGGATGTTTCGTTTCAGTTTCATGATGAGCAAGTCCTGGCCCGCTACAGAAACAGCTAAATTACACTATAATACAATGTCCTTACCAATGAGGCTAATTTCAGTGCCTTGAGGAACAACTAAGGCTGATAAATGCTATCGTTGGTCTTTCGGTCTTTTTACCGCTGCTGTGAATCGTGCTGGCCTGGCTCGAACGAAAAAGACTCTTAGCCTTTTGCTTGCGATCCAAACGTCCCGATCTGTACATCAGAGGGGAAAACAAAGCGAATTAAACGATATTACTTTATCTGATATTGTGCCGTTGTCCTTAAAGCAAGGGATAATTTTCACACCAAAGAGTGTGCAGCTTTCACGAAATCGTCGGGGGGGATAGTATGCATTTTACTTTTTGCTTTTTTCAGCATTATTGTCCAACTAAACGAAGCAGGTCTACCGTTTATTTGACACACGCAGCATATCAGATAATAAAGTCATAAAGTGTATCAAATAACGTCACTTTTAAAATTTTCACTAATCTAAAGTGACGATAGTAGAAATTCCCGTGCAATTTCAACTTTTTGCTAAACCAGTTTTCTCAGGCTCCTTCTCCTCCAGGGTATGCCCTATCAATATAAATATTCTAGAATGTATGTTTGTTGATTTTCCGTTTGAAACGAGTTGTATCTGCTCCACATAACCTTCATGTAAGTGAATTGAGGTACACTTACCGTTGTTAAAGTTTTAGAAACCTTTCAGTGAGGTATGCATACTTCATTTGCGATAAAGAACATTGGCCGCTTTCTGTAGTCAACAAAACACTCGAAGAACTCGAAAGCGAAAGCTAATCTGGCGATTTCGCGATGCATATTATTCACATCCCTAAATAGCTGCGCCCTGCTGGTATTATATCAATTGTTTTACTGACAACTATTGAATTCGCTTGGGCCACATCACTGGTCAAGTTTTAGCCCCCACCAAAATAACACAGCAATGTGCCTTGACTTGCTGATCTTCATTTAGTTTTAAAAGCTAATTCGCTCTTCAACAGTTGGTAAAAAATTCCTCGCAATAGACATCATTTCACATTGCTCACATAAATGAAAAGTAGATACTTGGTTGTCCAAAAGCCGTTAGATGTTTCGTTTCAGTTTCAAAATTAACAAGTCCTGGCCCGCAACAGAAACATCTAAATTACACTATAACACAATGTACTTACCAGTAAGGCTAATTTCAGCGCCTTGAGACTGAATAAGGCTGATCAAATGCTATCGTTTTTCCTTCGACCCTTTAACTGCCGCTGTGGATCGTGATGGCTTGGCTCGCACGAGGAAGACTCCTAGCTGTTTCCTTGCAATCCAAACGTCCCTATCTGTGCATCATGGGTGAAAAGAAGCGCATTAAACGATAATGCTTTATCTAATATTGTGCCGTTGTCCTTAAACCAATGGATAATATTTTTCACAAAAAATTCTGCAGCTTTAACCAAATCGTACCGTGCGTAATCTACTTTCTGCTTTTTGCTTTTTTTCAGCATTATTATCTAACTAAACATAGCAGTTCTCTCATTCGT